TGGGGCCCCGGCCAGCGCCGGGACCTCTTCCTGCAGGCCACGCCTCACCCGGACATCAGCCGCCGCGTGGCCGCCTTCCGCTTCGAGCTTCGCGCAGACAAGCATCCGGAGCTACCTCCGCGGGCCCAGGGCCTCGGCGTGGACGGTGAGCGCCGGGCTGACCCTGACCGGGGCCTTGTGTGCACGGGTGTGTGCACGTGCCTCTGTGGGGTGCCTGTGTGCATGTGCGTGTGTGCATCTGTGCACAGGTGCGTGCCTGTGTGTGTGTGCACGGGTGGGTGCTTGCGTGTGTGCGCGTGTGCATCTGCACGAGTGTGTGCCTGTGTGCATGCATGTGTGGGTGTGCACGTGGGACAAAATGACTGAACTAGAGGAGACGGGCCTCGACACTCTGAGGCCTGGAGGCCTATCTGGTCAGTGCCATGCTGGACCAGGAACGCAGCTCACACCAGGCCAGAGGGTGGCGGCTGGGGTCCCCTTTCCCTTTTCCCTCCTCCCCAGAATTCATCTTAGAGAAGAGCAGGCATGGGGACAAACGTGGCAAATGTAGAAAGGTAGGCCCGGCAGGGCAGCCTGGGGGCTGTGGTCTCAGAAGGGTTGGGGGAAGGGAGGGAGGTGCAGAATCAGAGCTGTGGCTGGAGCTGTCCAGGGCTCCCTGGCCTAGCGGTGCCCTCACTCCCCTCCCCCAGCCCAGCCAACAAAAGTCCAGTGTGCCTCATCACCATGGAGACCAGGAGCAGCCGGCCCCCCTGCAGGGCAGCAGGCCCAGCTCTTGGCTCTCCTGAATCTCCCAGCCTGACCCTGCCGGAGATGGGACCGTCCCTGTGCTACCTCTAGCTGGGGACCCTAGAACCAGGGCCAGCCAGACCCCCCCACCCCCACCCCCTGCCCGGCTGTTGTTCTATGGTCCAGGAGGCAGTTCAGGAAGGCCGCAGCACTGGAGTGCGGTTGTAAGCTGGGCATGCGAGAGTGCAGCGCGGCACTCCAGCTCCAAACAGGCAGCCCCGAGTCGGTGCCTGCCAGGGCCCCGACCCACGCGGCCATGCACACATGTGGTGCAGCCCTTTGGTTGCCAGGGCCCCGACCCACACGGCCATGCACACATGCGGTGCAGCCCTTCGGTTTCCATTGCTCCTTGGGGCTCCTGCTGAGAGGAGCGGTGGGCAGGCTCCTGGGTGAGTCAGAGGCGTGCTGACGTGCTGCCCTGCTCGACAGGTGTCTGCAGACCCTGCAGCGACGCTGAGCTCCTCCTGGCGGCATGCACCAGCGACTTCCGTGAGTGTCCCCTGAGCGAGGGAGCCCGGGGCCCACTCCCCCTCCCGGCCTCACCCTTGCCGCCGCTCCTCCCTGCAGTGATCAATGGGACCATCCACGGGGTCACCCACGACTCGGAGTCTCAGGAGTCCATCATCACCGTGGTGCCCACGCGTGTTCTCCGCCCGATGCTGCCAGTGGGCGGCGCCGAGGGCCCGGGGCAAGCCTCCATCCACACCCCCCTGCAGTGCGGTGTCCGCCCGGGCCCAGGCACCTTCCTCTTCATGGGCTGGCGCCACTTTGGCCAGGCCTGGCTGGGCTGTGCCCCCCGCTCCCAGGAGTTCAGACGTGCCTACGCTGCTGCCCATGCTGCCCACACCCACCCCTGCGAGGTGAAACTGGACTGAGAGGACTGGGGAACGCCAGTGGGACCTTCCTGGGCGAGGGGGCATGAGGGTGGGGGGCTGGAGGTCCCCAGACGGCATCGCAGGACCGCTGACAGGCGTCCTGAGCTGACAGGCGGCACCAATAAGAACATTGCTCATACTGGCTGCCGCAGACCTGGTCTCTTGGGTCAAGCCCAGGCTTGGACTGGGCTCCCTGCATTGACTTCTCTCTGCTGTCCCTCCCATGCTCCCTAGCCTGACCTCTGCTCTGGCCGGCTCCCGTTGGCATCCCTGTCTTAGGTCTTTCTGGGGCTCAGAGTGGGAGTGGAAAAGGTGCCTGGGGTGGCTGTGGTCCCTCACCGGGCCCCGGCGAGGGGCAGCGGACACCTCAGACCCCGAGCTGGCCTTGGCAGGGGAGGGGACGCACTCCAGCAGGGTGCGTTTCCTCTGTGGTCATCGTGAGCCCCGGTGCCATCATCGGGCAGGTCTCACCCTTGGGGAAGAACGGGCCCCTCTGTCCGGAGGCCCTTCGGACGTGCCAGGCATGCAGACGCAGCCAGGCGCCGCGGGTGTGGGAGCTCCACTGTGGGTCCTGCTCGGCTGCGTCCGGCAGGAGGGGTGCACAATGGGATCTCTAAGGACCGTTTCCCGCCACTGGCCCCATTGTCACTGTCCCTGCCTTTCTCCTGGGCCTCCTGGCCACATAAAGAGCCGGTGGGGCTCTGCCAGACACACTGAAGGCCTGGTGGGCTCGCATTGAGGCCTCAGCTCCGGTGCCGGGGATCCCGGGCTGCCCCGGCAACGGCTGACTGGTTTCCTTCCTTCCTTCCTTCCTTCCTTATTTTTCCCTACCCCAACCCCCAAATACTGGGGTTAAACTCAGGACCTCATGCTTTTGCTAGGCAGGTGCTTCACTATTTAAGCCATGCTCCTAGGAGGCCAGGCTTTCCCCCTTCCCCGACCACCAAGAGAACAAATGGGGGTGGAAGCCCTGTCAGGATGGGTGGAAGCCTCATCTTTCAGGCCAGGACAAGCTGGGAGAGGACAAGGCTGTGCACAAGGACCACACACAGGGCCCATGCTCCAAACCCAGCTGATGATGCCTGGCGGTGCTGTGTCCTGAGCCAGCACCTATACCCTGAGCCAGCAACTACACACTCTACACCCTGAGCCGGCACCTACACCCTACATCCTAAGCCTACACCCTACACCCCAGCCAGCACCTACACCCCGAGCCAGCATCCTACACCCCACACCCTGAGCCAGCACCCTACACCCCACACCCTGAGCCAGCACCTACACCCCACACCCTGAGCCAACACCTACACCCCGCACCCTGAGCCGGCACCTACATCCCATACCCTGAGCCAACACCTACACCCCACACCCTGAGCCGGCACCTACACCCCACACCCTGAGCCGGCACCTACACCCCACACCCTGAGCCAGCACACCCCACACCCTGAGCCGGCACCTACACCCCGAGCCGGCACCCTACACCCCGAGCCGGCACCCTATACCCTGAACTGGCACCCTATGCCAAGCCGGCACCCTACACCCCGAGCCAGCACCCTATGCCCTGAGCCAGCACCTACACCCCGAGCCGGCACCCTATGCCCTGAGCTAGTACCCTATGCCAAGCCGGCACCTACACCCCGAGCCGGCACCCTATGCCCTGAGCTAGTACCCTATGCCAAGCCGGCACCCTATGCCAAGCCGGCACCCTATGCCAAGCCGGCACTCTGCGCCCTGAGCCGGCACCCTAAGCCAAGCCGGCACCCTGCGCCCTGAGCCGGCACCCTATGCCAAGCCGGCACCTTGCACCCTGAGCCGGCACCCTATGCCAAGCCGGCACTCTGCGCCCTGAGCCGGCACCCTATGCCAAGCTGGCACCCTATGCTAAGCCGGCACCCTGTGCCCTGAGCCGGCACCCTATGCCAAGCCGGCACCCTGCACCCTGAGCCGGCACCCTATGCCAAGCCGGCACCCTGCGCCGGCACCCTATGCCAAGCTGGCACCCTATGCTAAGCCGGCACCCTGTGCCCTGAGCCGGCACCCTATGCCAAGCCGGCACCCTGCACCCTGAGCCGGCACCCTATGCCAAGCCGGCACCCTGCGCCCTGAGCCGGTGCTCTTGGTCACTCTAGTGGCTGTCCTGAAATGCCCATGGCACAGGCTGCCAGGAGGGAAGAGGCATTCACTTTCACTTGGCTTGTGTCCCCTAGGCCGGGCTGACGAGGCTGAGTGGGGACGGACGGTTTCTTCCCCGGTGGCTCCTTGCTTCCATGCATCAGCTAAACTTCCAACCATTGGAGGCTGTGTGCTCCGGCTCAGACCTTCACTTTTTTTGGGGGGGGGTCTGGTCTTGGGGCCTGAACTCTGGGCCTGGGCGCTGTCCCCCAGCTCTTCAGCTCAAGGCTAGTGCTCTACCACTTGAGCCACAGCACCACTTCCGGCTTTTTTCTTTTTGCTTATGTGGTGCTGAGGACTCGAACCCAGGGCCTCAGGCATGCAAGGCAAGCGCTCTACCACTGAGCCACCTTCCCACCACCCCTTCACTTTTTTTTTTTTTTGTCAGTCCTGGGTCTTGAACTCGGCCTTGGCACTGTCCCTTAGCTGCTTTTGCTAAGGGCTAGTGCTTGATCACTTGAGCCACAGCGCCACTTCCAGCTTTTTCTGTGTATGTGGTACGGAGGAATCAAACCCAGGGCTTCATGCATGCTAGGTGAGCACTCTACCACATTCTCAACTCCTCTTACTTTTTCACCCCCAGCCCGGATCATATCTTGGATGCCAGGCCCTTGCATCCCGGCTCTAGCACCCTGTACCCCAGCATCAGCAGGAATAGACAGCCCTGTGTGTCTCCACTCCTCAGTTACCTTGGGGAGATGGCCCAGACAGGTCTCCCAGGCCTTGCCCCCAGGGCTGAGCAGCACCCTCCCCTTTGGCACCTGCCCGGATCCTCTAGCCAGCTCCCCACAACCTACCTAAGAGCGGTCCCCACTGCCTGGCCTCCACACTGCATGGCGCTGGCTGAGCTCCAGCCCCAGACCACCCATACACAACAGGCTGGGCTGCTGAACGTGCTCTGCGCACTTGCTCCGGGAAGGGCCGGAACCCCAATGCATGGCCTTCCAGAGACAGCTCCTGCTTTCCGCCAGTGCTCAGGGCAGGTTGACAGCAGGACCAAGAGAACCCCGTGTACCCCCAGAACATGGCCAGACGGGGGGGCGTGGGAGGCGATGGCCAGACGGGGGGGGCGTGGGCGGTGAGGCAGCCAGGGTAAGTGTGGGCGAGCGTGTGGTCTGGAGCTAAGGGAGGCGGGCCGGGGGCCTCTTGTGGGCCAGCTGAACCTGTCACGGGGTGCAGACATGCCTGTGCCCTTGGTCTGACGTTGCTGAGCGTCTCAGGTGCTCTGGGCACTGGGAGTCCTGAGACCAGGTGTGTGTAAGCACTCCTGTCTGGAGTTTGGTGACGCCCTGCCCGGGGAAGGGGTCAGCTACAGCCCCGAGGAGGCTGGACACCGAGCTGGGAGGGCAGGGCGCCTCCTTCCTAGCAAATGAAGGCCTGCCGGTTAGACTGGTTAGACTGGGACCAGTGTGCCAGCACCAGCGGGGGCCTTGCTCCGGGGAGGCGTGGTGATCGTGGGCACCAGCGGGCCGCAGGGGATGAGGCCAGAGCTGGGGACACAGACAAGCCAGACCTCAGCGGCGTGAGTAGTCAGCCCAGCCTGGCCCAGGGCTTTGCCCAGAGCGACCCTTCCCTTTTGTTCTCCTTGGTTGTTGTGCTGTTTTACCCCCCCCCCACACACACACGTTCGGCCAGCTGCCAGCGGCCAAGCCCACATCCGGAAGCTTCTCCCTCCAGAGCCAACATCTGTCTCTCCCCATCATCCCTCCCATGACCCCCACCGGCTCCCAGGCATCCACTCCCCCTAATTGTCCTGGGGGGGGGTGGGGGAGAGGGACTGCAGGGAGTCTCTGTGGACCTGCCCTGGGCTTGGCTAGCTTTCCAGGAAGTCCTGGCTGGTGAGCCCTGGGGACAGCGGTCACATGGGTCCATAAGCCTGAGGACAGCGGTCACATGGGGTGCGGGGCAGTCGCACCAGCTTGGCCGCTGCCCGGCCCTGCCTGAGCCTACCCCCTGCCCCCCCTTTCTGGCTCCAGAGGCCGGCATCCGGACACAGCGGTCAGGCCGGACAAACCCCGAGCAGGGCACAGCCCGCCGCCGGCCGCCTGCCAGAGCCACGACCCGGAACCCCGGTGAGAGGCGGCCCGGCCCCTTCCGGCCCTCCCAGGCCTCCGGCCCGCAGCCATGGAGCACGAAGACCCGGCTGAGGCATTCCTGGGGCCGCGCGCCAGGCGGCTGCGGGTGGTGGAGCTGCTGCAGCTGGCAGCGGGCTCGGGGCTGGCGGCCTACGCCGTGTGGGCGCTGCTGCTGCAGCCCGGCTTCCGCGGGGTGCCGCTGCGGCTGCAGGTGCGGGGCGCGGGGGGGTGCGGGGGGCCGGGCCGGACGAGCCCCCCAGCCTCCCGCCGCCCGTCCCAGCGCCGCACCTCCTCTCCAGGTGCCCTACGTGGGTGCGAGTGCGCGGCAGGTGGAGCACGTGTTGCTGCTGCTGCGAGGCCGCCCCGGGAAGACGGTGGACCTGGGCTCTGGGGACGGCAGGATTGTAAGTGTGTGTGTGTGCGTGCGTGTGCACACGTGTGCTCATCCCTGTGTCCCACAGCCCCCTCCCCTGCACCAGCTCACACTCGCGACTCCCGCAGGTGCTGGCGGCACACCGGTGCGGGCTCCGGCCGGCCGTGGGCTATGAGCTGAACCCGTGGCTGGTGCGGCTCGCACGCCTGCACGCGTGGAGGGCCGGCTGCGCAGGCCGCGTCCACTACTACCGCCAGGATCTCTGGAAGGTAACCTGGGGAGCCCTGGGACCCCAGGCCTCCGCTGCCCTCCCCGCACGCCCCTAGCCCTCATCTCTGCTCGGGTCTTGTGCAGGTGAGCCTGAAGGACTGCTACAACGTGTCTGTGTTCCTGGCCCCCAGCGTGGTAGGTCGGGGGTTTGCTGCTCTGCTGGGAGGTTGGGCCGTGTTTGGCGTTGGCTGGCCTGGGGCCTGGGCCCGGGTGCTGGGCCCGGGTGCTGGGCCCGCTGACGGCCAACCCCTGCTCTTTCCCGCAGCTGCCCCTGCTGGAGGACAAGCTTCGGGCAGAGCTGCCCCCTGGGGCTCGCGTGGTAGCTGGGCGCTTCCCGCTCCCTACTTGGCAGCCTGTGGCCGTGGCGGGAGAGGGCCAGGACTGCGTCTGGGCCTACGACATCCCTGGCGCTGGGTTTGCTGTGTCCTCCTCGGGAGTACCCAGCAAGGCCACCCCAGGGTTGGGCTCTCCCCCAGTCCCCGGGACCCCCACCATACAGGCTGGCTGGACACAATAAAGACTCCGCAGCTCCCGCCCCAACTCTTGTTTGGCAGAGAAGGGCTGATTTCCCGGGGTGGGGGTTGGGGAGGCTCCTCCACGCCGGCTGCCCTCGGAGACCGGCTAGCGGGTGCTGCGTGTGCTCGGGTGCCGGGGCCTGGCTGGAGGTGGGGCCTCTCCATTCCGGAGGTCCTCAGAACCCACCAGCGTCCGCAGTCTCAGGATCTCCTGCTTATACCTTGGAGGAGAGGCTGGGTGAAGTCACTTGCTTGGTGGTGGGCTTTCTTCCCTCTTCCGGGGGTCACGCCTGGCCCACCTGCCTAGGTGCTGGTCTACGTACTCCTGTAACTCAGCAAGCTGCTCTTCCGCCACCGTGGCCCGGACCAGCAGCTGGGCCTGCTGACGCTCCAGCTCCGCCTGGCAGCAAAGCACACCCTGAGCCAGGGCATGGGGTGTGGCGGGGCCCCTGCCCGGCCTTGCCTACTACCTGGGTGTTCCTGGAGAAGTCCCGGAGCTTCTGGTGGATCTCGGCCCAGGACACAGTGGCCAGGCCCCTGGCAGGGGGACAAAAGGGCGGTCTCCGCGGGGGGTCCTACCCAGGCCCATTGGGTTCTTGTTTCCCCAAACCCTAGGAGGTGTTTCCTCACGAGCCCTGCTCACGGGCAGCCGGGAAGGGGAAGGTCTGAGCCAAGGGCCTGCCTGGTCACAGGCGGTGGGCGCCCACTCTGACCTCGGGCGGGCTCTCTCTGACCTCCTTCTAGCAGGCCCCTCTTCTTTGTCTGTAAGCTGCTCAGCGGGAGCAGCTACTCCACTATTCCTGTGGTTAGTGTCTCCCAGACACCCCAGGAGATGCCAGGGCAGGGGTAGCAGGAATAAATGAAGGCCGGGCGGCTGCAGGGTTCTGTGCTCTGCCCCTTCCTCCATTCTGCCTCCTGTCCCCACCCCGCCCCACTCACAGCGGCCGTGACGTCCCCTGGGAGCCTTCACCAGGTCCTTTCTCTGGGCACAGAAGTGAGCCCCCGAGGCTGCGGCACTGTAAGACAGGATAAGGACCCCTCCGCTGGCCGTGCAGAGGCCCTGGGGCTTTGCCGAGCCCTGGGCAGCGCTGGGCAGCGGGGAGAGGGTCCTGGGCTTGCTTGTCTCACCTTATCGTCCCTTGGGTGGCCAGGCTCGGCCGCACAGGTGGCCCCGGGGGTCTCCAGTGCCTTGCTGGGGTCCGTCGGTGCCTGGGGCCGTTCCTGCTGCACACTAAGCCGCACTCCAGGTCACGTGGGGCTCACCCCACCCCATGAACCCGAGCTGGGGTGGGGCCTACCTGCAAGTGGTCAGCAGCAACTCGTGCCTACGACTTAAGTCTGCCAGGCGCTTGCGATAGGTCCGGGCGGCCTGTGCCAGCTGCTGCTCACGGCTGCGGTGCGCTGCCCTGATGTCCTCCAGAGTGGCTTCCAGGAATGTCCGCAGGGAAGCCTGGCCCGTACCCCTGGCCTGTTCCTGGGGGGATGGGGCGGAGCTTACTTGGGCCCCGCCCGCGGTGGTGCCCAGCGGCCAGGGCTCAGCATCTGCCGGGACCTCAGGAGGGCTGCTCACCACCGCCTGCTGCGTACAGTGCTGCAGCCGTGCGGCATACTCCTCCATCAGTCTCTTCAGCTGCAGCTGCAGCCGGGCGTTGTCAGCCTCGGCCTGGCGGAGCTGGGCCTGGCAGGTGGACAGTACCTGGGAAGACGGGATCCTTTGCTGCATTTCTAGGCCGTCCTCTGGACCTCTTACGTGTGTACGGCAGGCTGGGCCTCACCATAGCTTGTGCGGCCAGTTGCTGCCCGGCCGCCCTGGCTTCTTCTTGGGTTCCCTGCAGCTGCCGGTCCAGGGCTGCCCTGCTGACAGCGTGGGGCTCAGTCAGGCCAGGGTGAGGGGTCAGCACGGCCGCGCTGGACGCCGACTGCGGTCCTGCTGGGCCCTCCCGGTCCAGGATGGGGGGGTTGCTCACACTCGTTCCCGCAGGGCCTGCTGTGCCCGGGTCCCATCTTCCCGCAGGTGTCCCCCGACTCCTGGCGGCTGTACGGTACACAGAGCTGGTTGTTCAGACCCAACCCCCAGCGGCCCCCAGGAGCGAAGCCCTGCGTTAGGGGCTGTGTGGTCCCGTTGCTCCCCAGTTTGACTTGCTCTTGCTCAGAAGCCAGGTGTCCCTGGGCTGCATCCCCAGGGGAGAACAGACGGGACTGAGGCTCGGGTGAGCAAGCTTCCACCTTGCCACGCACCCGTGGAACTCACCGGCACCCCGCACCCAGCCCTCCACGTGCTCACGGTGACCTGGGGTCTCTGGTGCTCCTGAGTTCTGTGGCTGAACTCCTGTGCCGGTATTGGGCAGCACCCCTGGTGAGAGTCTGCTGGGGCTCTGTGGCTGGCGTGATCTCGGTATAGCTCCAGCTCCAGCACCCGACGCTCCAGCCGCAGGACCTGGAGGCAACAGGGCAGCTGCCTGCTGGACCGCCCAGCGTGGGCAAGCATGTATCTGGGCACAGACACGGCCACACAGCTCACAAGGGACAGGCCGAGGCCCCCTGGTGCCTGGCGGAGGCGCTCACCTCCCTCTGCAGCTGGAAGACTTCAGCCTCGTGCTGCTCCTGCAGGCGGTGGGTGGTGATCTGAAGGTCAACCAACTCCTTGGAGATCTGCGGGTGCCAGGTTGAAAGGCGCCGCCTCTGGGCCCCGTGGCTGCCCTCCCCAACTGTGAGCTCCGGGGTTCCCCACCCACCTGCAGCCGCTGCTGCTCACTCAGCTCCGTCTGCAGGCTGCCGGCCCATGCTGGGGTGTCCCCAGGCTCTCCCAGCAACCAGCTGTCAGCCCCTGGCACCTGGGGAGGCCACAGCACCCCAGGCCCCGGTGGGTCTGAGGCCTGGGCTCTGGACACCCAGCCAAGGCGGCCCTTCCCTGGCCAGGAGAGGATTGGGGGCCTGCACACCCCCCTGGCCTCTGAGGGAAAGGGCCAGACCCAGGGTGGTGTTGGGGAGACTCACTTTCTCCATGGCTCTAGGTGGCTCCTCTCCTAGGCCCAGGGCGGCCGGGCCTCCTGCCGGGTGGTGGCTGTTGACTGGCCTGGTTGCCAAGGCCTCTGTTGGTCTTCGGGCCTACCCGCCCCGCCCAGGAGGCCCCGGCTGGCCCTGGCCGGACAGCGGCTGGGGGGGAGCATTCTGGGTGGAGTCCCTGTGTGAAGGCCCTCCCTGCTGGCTGCCTTGTGGGGGGGGGCGGGGGAGGAGGGGGGAGGGTAGGTGGGGGGGAGGGAGGGCAGAGGTGGAAAGCGAGGGGCACAGAAACGCCCAGCTGCGAGACGTCCTGCCCCACCCGCCTGCGGACCCAACGCGGCGGGGTCCACGCACGGCCAGCCGCCCTCCGTGCCCTGTGCCCCTGGGCCAGGTCACCCACTCCTGGTCGCCTTCTGTGCACCCGGCGCCGACGATCTCCCCGCACCCAACCTGAGAACGGGGTGTGGACGGCGGGGCGGGGCTCCGGGCATCGCTGGTGCAGGGGGCGGGGCTCCGGGAGAGGAGGCGGGGCTCTGGGAGTCCCAGGTGCAGGGGCGGGGCTCTGGG